AGCACAAGAACTTCAGTCCACTGGGGGGGGGGGGGAAATAAACTAAGAGTGACTAATAAGTCAAACCCCGACATCCCAAAGGACAGATGTATGTAAACCGTCACTACTAAGAATTATGCATTAGAAGAGTGTTTGAAAAACACTGCATTAGAGACCTGTGTCTGCAGTCAGATACATCTATACAATCTGTGGATCAGCTGTTCTCCTCAAAAATTGGGATTATCCTCAATTTCTCTCTTTGGGGGAAGCCTATATTTTTACACTGGTAAAAAGCATTCTTATATAGTAAGGCCAATGGCAGCATCTGATATCTTGGAAGATTATGGCCCATAGTTATATTAATCCTTTTCTCTCTTTCCCCCGCCCCCAGACCTGGCACCCTGAAAATACCTGGTGGCTGGGTCTAGTTGCTCTTTTCACTTTGCACAACAGTACTGTGAGGACAGCAGGCCATCTCAAATAATAGTCTTTTAATTAAGTCCTGGAATTCCACATATGACACACCATATGATGCATGTTAAAAGGTTATATCAGAGGAGCTGTGTCCCAGGATGGTCCAGCAACAATCTACAGATACATAGATGTTTAGATGGACACTTCCAAAGCAGCTTAAGTAGAAGTAGTGTATAAAATTGGGGACAAATATGTAGAACTTTCTTCAATGAACCTGGCATTTTTCTGATAGTTCATCGATGAAGGGGACATCTCACTGACATTTGACTCTTTGTCATTCTTCTTTGGAAAACTAACCTCCGATACAACTGTGCTATATAGAGATTGCGGCAACTAGCAGTCACAACATTGCATTTTATTCTTGAAAGCTTTCTGGAAACAATATGTGAAGCTCAGACTAAGCATTTTATGCTTTACTAAATTACTATTCCACTTCAGCTTCAAGGGTTGAGAATTTGTTGTTCTACAGATGTCCCTGGATTGCAGTTTTCAGTATTCCTTAGAACTGCCCATGAGGTCCCTAGGAATTGTAGTTCAGCAACGGCAGACAGCAAGGAAATTCCTTTCTCCTAATATAGAGTTTCTTAATCTTAGCAACTTTAAGATGTGTGGACTACAACTCCCAGAACTCCACAGTGTTGAGAAGCATTGCCCTAATGCTTAGTTTCATCATGTATGTATTGGTACCTAGTGGCATCATATATTCATCTTCACTAAATTTGTTCAAATGTATAGGCATGTTTTAAGGATTACACCCTCCATGTCACTGAGCTCTTAAGAATATGGATAGAATTTTATTTTATAATAGTATGATCTCAAGCAAGTGTTTCTAGTACTGTCAATGGTCTTAGAAGTTCCCAATCCAGAACTGTAGGAATAAAGCTCACATCTATGCTATATGGGAAATGTAATCTAGTGGGTAGAAATCTAGATTTCAGTTTGCATAAACTATTCATGTATGGGAAGATACCCAAATGTAAAGCCCAGCATATTAGTGTGTAAAGATCAGACCAAGCTGATATATCTGGTGAGCTCTTGATGATTTTGAAACACCTGTTGTTCAGCCTAATTCTTCCAAGATTTGAAATGAGGTTAAATGTGAGGGATATATTACCTTAAATTATTTTATTTATTTTTAAGTATTATGATGTAGCGAGATGTGAGCAGAAAATTCTTTCAGATTCATGGGAGTGATCAGATATCTCTACTCCTTTGTTAATTTTCATCTATTTAACTGTTTTAGGAAACTTTGAGTGGGAGCTGCCCAGAGTTGGTTATAAGATGGGTGGCTATATAAATATTTTAAATAAATAAAACAAATCCAAACAGATAAATATTTTGAACTTTTATCTACCTCTCCAGAATCTCAATTCCTTCACACTAATGAAATCCAATTATCACTAAAATGTTTAACATTTACTTTCAGATATTGATGTGATATTTATTCTCAGTCCAGGATTTGGGGATGTGAATGTAAATGGAAAAGCACAGAATAAATAAGAGCAGCCTTAGGTAACACTGAAAATGTTTAAGGGAGATTCAGGTTTGTTTGTTTTTTTAATCTCTCATTAAGTAAAAACACTTGGTATCTTAACTTCAATCTCTGAAGTCAGGATTTCTAGACTTCTCACCTCACCTCACAGGCTTTCTGGAATCCAGGGATAACATTTGAAGCATAAGATCATATGTATATTTTTCAATCATCTGCAGAATTAGGTCACCACAGTTACAGAGGAAAGCAAGGGTCTTCAAACTTGGCCCTTTTATGACTTGTGGACTTCAACTCCCAGAATTCCTCAGCCAGGCATGCTGGCTGAGGAATTCTTGGAGTTGGAAGTCCACAAGTCATAAAAGGGCCAAGTTTGAAGACCCCTGGAGTAAAGCATAGAGTTCATGGTTCACAACATGAGAGATGGCCAGGGAATATATCCCCTAAGAATATGAGCACATCAAGGAAAGTTGTCCTTTCATTCAAAAACATTCAGAATGTAAGTAGTAATTTTTTATTTCATCCTCCGGTCAAAATTAAGTTTTTAAGTGCCATTAGTCATTTGGCTACAACCCTAAATAGTTATTGCTGAGATCCATTCATACACTAATCCCATTGGGAAGCTTAATTTTTCCTCTTGAAATTGACAGTACTATTATATAAAAACAACAATCCTTCAGCAATCTTAAATGCTGATATTTATTATGGCATGAGGTTTAGTTACTGTAATAGATTTATATGGTTGCCCCACTGGAAATCATGAATATTCCTTTGGCCTCCTCCTTCAGAGAAAGAACTTATGACTGCAAAGCAAATAATGCTCTCATATTCTTAATAAAACTATCTTGGTTGAAATACAAGTGACTTAATTGAATATTATACCTTCAATTTTTAAAATATCTTATAAATTCCCCTGCTTGCAAAACAATAATAGGGATGATAGATTATGATAGAAACAAATAACTAACCTCATTAGAAACATGCCTTAGAGTATAATCACCCTTTTTCATCTCTAGAAAAACATGGTTTAATTAACAATTAAATTAACAGTTAATTAAGCAACACCTTGCAGAAGATCTATTTTTAAATCTAGCCCAAATAATTTATTGTTTTCTTTCCCATGGACTCAAATGTCTTACAGATGAATTTACTAATTTTTCACACTTAGTTAACCACAACCAAGGGATAAGATTTTTTACATTTAGTCTTGAACTAAGTTAATTTTATATACTTATATATAATTTCACAGCCTTCTCATACCATCAGGATAGGATGGGCTATTTCTTTCAATGTGTTTCTAAAGTCCCTTGGTCAATGGAGAAAAAACTATCTCATTGTAAATGCCTTTTGTCATTATGGGAAGTGGAATCCAGGCTGTGAAGGATTCAGGCAGTATACAAACTTTGTTGTCCAAAAACCTTGCAGAACTCATAAGACATGTTATAAGAAATAATAATAGGTCAGGTAAAGAAATTGAAGGGAAAGGGGGTTCCTATAGAAACATGGATTATTTAAAAATTGCATGAATGACACTGAAGAGATTCCAAGATTTGTACAGTCTAGAACAGCAAGTGATGCAAAGCACACATTGGACTGTAATACTGACAGCATTTTTGAAGGTCATCAGCTTTCATCCTCTCCTTATCCTCAAAGCAAAGTTGCACCACATCTTCTCGGGTGAAGAGTCTCTTGAAGTAAAGTCAGCTAGTCCAGGGTAAGATGCTTGCTATAACCCATCAATGTAAAGATAAATTTCAGTGTGTAATCAATATGAAGTAATGATGTTTTCTTAATGCTAATTCAAAAAAACCTAGGAAATAAATACTCCTTAATTGTGAGACAGTCTCATCACCGAAAAAGAAAAAGGCAAAACTAAATATGCATTGAGAACAACTATCCCCCTGAGAGCTAACAAACTGAGAATCAAGAAGCTGAGACTTACAATATAAACCCACCAGCTGGAAATTATGGTGCTTGTAGTACATTATTTCTGGAAGATGGCACAATAGAATGCCACTCTCTTAAGTGTCAACCTAAAGAAATGTGAAACAATCCAATTCCTGATAGTGGCACTATCTCAATCCAATGTTTGCCTAAGCCTCTTTACTTTTTAGTTGCCTTGGAACTAGTTCAGGGTTTAGGCTAGGCCACTGGTTGCTTAAGCAATGCTGAAGAAATCATAATCAGCTAGAACCCAATAAATCATAAAACAGGGTTTAACAAATCATAAGGCCTGACCTTGTGAAATCATGACTAAAAAAAGCATTAAGGCTCAGCCACTTTTCTGAAGCTGCAGTTCTTAAACACATGTTTTTTAAACACTTTAACATAGAATACTACTGTGAAACTTACTTCCAAAGAAATACAAATATGAATGGGGTAGGAAGGGGAAACAGTGTTGATAGTACAGTAACTTCTTTAATCTAGAGACAGCAGACTGATTATGAGAATTATCTAAATAGCTCAAAGCAAGGCCCTTGTATATTCAAGCATTATAAGATGCTAAGAATTGTCTTCACCATAGCCATTCTGTCCATTTTCTGTACAATGAAAACTTGCTATAGCTCCATTTCATTCTTTGTCATTCCTGTATGCTTTAACTCAGCACCAATAGCTCCATATGCCATTTCTATAGATACAGGAAAAAATTTCTTGCTGTTGGGAAGAGTTCCTTGTAGATTTATCTCACTATTTTAAACTTTTATTTTTTTAACAGAATAACAGACTTGGAGGGGACCATGGAGGTCTTCTATCCTATGCCCTGCTCAAGCAGGAGACCCTATAGCATTCCAGACAAATGTTTGTCCAGTCTCTTCTTCAAAGCCTCCAGTGAAAGAGCACCCACAACTTCTGAAG